CCAAGCCATTTATCTCTCTGCCCTTCAGTTAATCCCACTTGTGTTTATCGGCCAGGCACAATAAACTATCTCAATTACCAATAATTGGGACTTTAATATCTTACAGATTTATTTACACATTGGTAAAATATTGGCTATATAATAAAAAAAAACTATACAAGGTCGTAAATGATAATGCTATACACAATAACCCTGCCAATTTTATTCTTAATCTTCTGAGCAGGAGTTTCTAATATATTTGCCTTGAAATAATTCTCCAATAGCTTGCTCATTTTCAACTCATAAAATGGTCAGATAGCTGCTACTTTTACCTCATTTGCACTAGATGTCGAACCAGTGCTCCCTTCAACCAGGTTTATGAAAGCGCTGGAAGATCTGGATATAACTTCTTTCTTAATCGAGAGCTCCTTCTCTAAATCCTTAGCATTAGACAAACCACTCTGCAAAATAAAATGAAAAACAGTGGCTAGAGACAATTCCCAATGAGAGCAGGCATACCATTCATCTATCAACTGCTTTCTCCAAGCGGGTGACCAATTCACTTTTCTATAGAAAAACAGAGACTGCTTCTCAGGGTTAAATGGTGTTCTTTCTAATGTGTCTCTATTTACCTAAAAAGAAAAAGATAGCTTTTTCCTTTGAAAGAGAAATAATATAAGACAATTTATTTGTAATATGGAATATACATGGTGAATTAAGAGACCGTCAGTGCATTATAACATCTGTTTCATCAAATCAAGGCCTACCAACATTCCCACCCCTACAAGAAAACAACTTTTCTGAGTACTGAAATAAGTTCTGCTTTAAAAGCAGAGACAGCCTGACTAGAAAGGATCGCTTCCAGTTTCACACGGTTTAAAATCCTCTATTCACTAGGATCCCTATAGCAAAAGTTGACAGATAATGCACAATGGACCTAAAACTTATCTATTTATTTTCATGCTAATAACCTCAGTACTAGGGTTGCTGCTTAACTGTTGAAGGATGGAGAGGTAAGAATATTGAATCTGAACTGGGCATTGAGCAATCATTCTTTTTACTATGCCAGACAAATAGATTTCAGAAATAAAGATCAAACTTCATGAAATAAATCTTGCTACTGACAAGTCTAAAAAGAGCCATGTCATTATATTAATGGAAGTGGTTTTGTTCCTGTTGGATCCCTGAGATTGTTTAATCATCAGTTCAGTTTTTAATACAGTAAGTAGTTTTAGATATAAAAGGAAAAATATGTTTGTTTGCATTTATTTCCTTTAAATTGAAATTTGGGGGAGAGCAAACAGGCAGGTAAATTATTTTTCTTGTGATCAGTGAATAGAAGTAGGAGGGTAAGGCATAAAGTTGGGCACAAAGTCTGTTAAGTGTCTGCTTGTGGTCCAGTGAATTACTTGACACCACTGTTCTATCTAAAATCTTTGTAACATATACTAAAAAACTGAGTGGGACCTTGTAGATAAAGTGTATGGAACGGCCTGTGCATAAAATGAGCCATCTCAAAGCAGAAAATGAATTTCACTACTATCAAAAGAGAAGAGTCTAGATCTATGTGCATCCTTTGGACATCAATATCCCTGTGCACTGAACTGCCTTGATGCAGGAGATATAGATAGAGAGCTGTGACCAGAGGAGGGGTAGCAGCAGAACTAATAGCATGGAACAGAGTGGTGGGCTCCTCAGCCCATGGTGAAAGTAAAGTTGAGTGCCTTCAGGCAGAAGGCTCACTTGTGGAGGGAGCTGCCTCCAGGCACTTAGTCAGTGAAACAAGGTTTGTTGACCATGGAACCAGAGCTGAGACTTACGTGGAGTGCAGTACCCATTGGACATTTATGGGCATTGGTTAAAAAATTTATAACATTGTCTAAGTAGGGCAGAAGCTAAAGGGCTTGGTATCTGAGAGGCTGAGGACTAGAGAGAGGTCTGTCTGCAGGCATAGGTGAGCACAGGAGCTCTTGACAGAAGAACTATATCCTGAGAATTTCTGCTCTTGAATTATAACAAGCTAACTTCCTTAGCAACCCCCATAATCATATTCTGTGAATTCTGTGTGGTCATTGAAATGGATTATGGAACCTAACAGAAGAGACTGCTGTGGGAGGCACAGTTAGTATCAGAATTGGTAAAGGAAGTTGGAGGGGAGAGATATATATGACCTCTGTTTTATAGGAATCAGCCTTGGGCTGGTGTTGAGTTCAGATGCCATCTCTAAAACATTTCAACAGTAGCGAACACTGTCTGTAAAATGTCATACAAGTTATGTGAGCTCTACATCATTCACTTTCAATCACCTAGCCACTGAGTAACTCATGACTTAGGGATGGGAGTTGTACCCTTGAGAAGTATATAGCCAAATCTGAAGCTGTGGGAAAAGTAAAGAGCGGAAGAAAGGAACATGTGGGCAGATGAAAAATGTTCCCTTAGAAATTATTATTGGTATTCTCCTACCCCTCCTCTCTTCATCACAGCCACCACTCCAGGACAAAATTGTGAATCACCAGAGTAGTTCAATGATATATGTTGCCAAATTTTACTACAAAATTATGAAAATAAGATAAGTGGTTAAAAAAAGAGAACAATATAAAAGTAACCATCACCCTCCTTTCTGAGACCCTCAGTCCCTATTTGCAAAGTCAAAAGATTAAATCCCTTTCCACAAGTTTCCATGCCTACAGTATGAAATACTTGCCTTCTCCTCTCCATAAACCAATTAACCATCCACCCCACACTAATAACACTTGTATGACACTAAGCCTTGTTCTTTTGTGCTTTTTATTGTCCTTGGAAATGGATCGGTGCTCAATTATTAATGTAAAACATTTATGAATATACTTGAGAACTACACTGATATATACTGTATATCTTAACTTTTTTTTATCATAATCTTTTTACATAGGAAAAAGGGGGAAAATAATGAAAAAACATTCTACAATCATTGTTCCATGTAAATTTGCATATAAATAAACAAGTCTATGAGAAAATCCATACCAGTATGTCAAAATTGCTTATATATGAGGGAGTACAAAAAAAACAGTATTTTTTTCAAAGCTATGTATTTAAATTTTTTAATAAAACAACTGATCACCTTCAAAGTACTCTTGATTATACTTAATACATTTGTCAAATCTGCGCGATTCCATTCTTGGAAATATTTTTCACACTCATCTGTTTGAATGTCTGACAGCACCTCCCTCATTTTTTTCTTTACATCTTCTACTTCATCAAATCACTGTCCTTTCATGTCCCTCTTCATTTGCGGAAACAAAAAGAAGTTGCACAAGCAGGATCAGGTGAGTAAGGTGTGGTACAAGAGAGGCATGCTGTTTTATGCCAGAAACTGATGCACTGAGATGGCTGCATGAACAGGTGCATTGCCACAGTGGCAAAGTCAGTCTCCCGTCTGCCACAAATCAGGCCTTTTTTGTCAGATACTGTTACGCAATCTTTTCAGAACCTCTAAATAAAAAGCTTGATTAACAGTCTGTAGAATAAAGTCCAAATGCACTACGAGTCGACATTTTCATACATTCTGGAAGTTGATGGACTTCCAGAATGAGGTTTGCCATCAAGCGACATGTCACCTTTTTTAAACGAGAAAACCACTCGTATACTTGAGTTTTTCCATAGTGCTGTCCTTGTAAGCTGCGTTCAATATCACAACAGTTTCTGTGGCATTTTTCCCGAGCAGGAAACAAAATTTCATAGCCTCATGCTGTTCTCTTATATCGGCCATCACAAAAAAACAAGTTTCGAGCGAAACTGCTTTCACAAAAAATTCACTGTGACCAGACAGAACCTTCCCAGGCGAGGCCAATTGGTGCACTAACTCAGATCCAGTTGCTCTATGCTTACCTAGTGGGAAATAAACGTGTACTACGAAAGCTCCACTCTGCCCAGTGCAATTCCGGTGTCTGTTTTTTGGTGGAGGTGGGGAGGTACCCCCTCTAATCTCAGTAGAGGATTCAGAGGTAATCCTATTTTCTTTGAAAATATTTCTTTCACTGGTTATAGTTATTCTAATAATTGCTAAAATATAATTTCATGTCTATTGACTCTAATAATAAAACATAGGAATTGTTTTTAAAAATGTTATCTGGGAGAGTTATAAGTAAATATTAATCCTATCTATGAGCGATAGCAATGTGAATATATAAAAGTTAAGACTCCTGCTAGTGAAATAAACATAGCTAAACACTAAAAAGCATATATTTCTATACTTAGTAAGGATATTTTACAAAGAATATGTATGACTTTTGCATGGCCACTTTGTATTTAGAAAACCTCAAGAGTTCTTTTTTAGGGAGGGGTTTATTTGCTGTGTTGAAAGCTTAAATGTTCATAATTCATATATGTGTTTTTCTAGGAGAATCCCAGGGTATATAGACCCTACCCACTACAAATTATGTTTTTTCAATTTCTTTTATCTTTTTTAAAATAAATCATTTTACTGGGGCCTCTTATAGTTCTTATAACAATCCATATATCAATTGTATCAAGTACATTTATACATGTTGCTATCATCATTTCAAAAACATTTTCTATTTGTATCCTTAGTTTCAGTTCCTCTATTTCCGGCCCCCATCCCACCCTCCCATCCTCATGAACCCTTGATAAATTATACAATATTATTAGTTTTGTATCTTATACCATCCGGTGTTTCCCTTCACCTATGCTTCTATTGTTCGTCCCCCAGTGGGCAGGGGGGGGCGGTTAGGGTCTATACATCAGTCATTGTAATCTGTTTCCCCTTTCTCCCCCCAACCTTCACCTTACCCTCATAGTATCACTACACCCAGTATTATTCCTTAGGGGTTTATCTGTCTTGGATTCTGTGTGTTGAGAGCTCTTATCTGTACCAGTGTACATGCTCTGGTCTAGCCATACTTATAAGATAGAACTGAGGTCATGATAGTGACAGGGAGGAGGCATTAAAAAATTAGAAGCATGTTGTGTGTTTCGTCGGTGGTATACTGCATCCTCGATGAGTCGTCCCTTCCTTGTGGACCTTCTGTGAGGGGATGTCCTACTGTCTACAGATGGGTTTTGGGTCTCCAATCTGACCACTCTTGTTTGTATTGATATGATTGCTTGTTTGGGTCTTCTGATGCCTGATCCTGTTACTCATGATCACACAGGCTGGTTTGCTTCTTCCATGTGGGTTTTGTTGCTTCCCTGCTAGATGGACGCTTGTTTAACATGAAGCCTTTAAGACCCCAGACCCGATATTTTCTAATAGCCAGGCACCATCAGCTTTCTTTACAACATTTGCTTATGTACCCAATTTGACTTCAGTGATGGTGTCGGGAAGGTGATCACCACAGAATTCCAGGTTATTAGAACAAAGTGTTCTTGTGTTGAGAGAGGACTTAAGTAGAGGCCCAATGTCCACCTGCTACCTAGATACTTAACATATAAATATATGAACATAGACCTATATCCCTATCATTACATACTAATATATTTACATATATACATGCCTATATTTAGAACTCAATAAATGCCTTTTGCCTTCTACTTTTTTCTTCTAATTCCTTTTACTTTCCTCCTGCCCCATTATCATGTTCAATCTTCATTCGGCTTCTGTACTTCCTTTCGGCTACATTGCACTTGATCAAACACCACCAGGTCTTCTACACCGTCCTTGCCATAGACTTTAGATCTCTTGTTGTTCCCTTGTCCCTGGGTTTGTTGGCTCCCCACTCCCTTTCTCCTACCTCCTCCTCTTTGAAAAAGTTACTGAGAATTAAATTACTACAAAAGCTATCATTTTTAGATGATACAGTTACACATAATGGCAGAATAGTTTTTACAGAGGGACCCAAAACATAAAGAGCCTTTAAAATACCAACTTACCCCCACTCCCAACACCACCCCTTTCCTGCCCAGTTACTAAGTTGCTCCTACTTAAGGGACTTTTCTATTTTTAACTTTATTCAAAAAAGAAAAAGAAAAACACTAACATGCAATCTTCTTTTCAGGCCTGGCACTGCCCACGATTCAGAAGGTTCATCTTGGCTGTCTCTAAGTAAAATATCTTCATCGAATCCCAACGTATCACTCTAATAAATTAAACACACAAACCACACATTTTGAAATAAACTGGAAAACCATAAGATTGATGAAAAACAAAGTTTTTCTCAGTCAAAGGGTCATTTTCCACATCATACACTAGTTTATGAAAGGCATGTCTCTTGTACAGTTATCATCTTGTAATATATAAAAAATTTAACTGTAACAATTACTGGCTCTCTGGATTTTCCCAAAGTCCCATATTTAAAGAAGGGTAGAATTAGCCTTATTTTTAAATGGAATAAAGCCCCTGAGGTTCAACAAGGTTTTTAATGTATCTGAAACCTCAGGGGTATTCATTCCGATATATACAAAATTTTAAGATAGTATTACAGATTATGTCTTTTTATAAAATTGTTTCATTCTAGTTTATTCTTTGATTGAAATTAGCCCTGTATTATGTGTTGGCATAAAGGATGATTTTCAGAAACAGTACATTTACTTTCAGTATTACTGTCACTTGAGTGATATAATATATATAGATAGATAGATACTATTTTAAATATAAATCAAAAGCATAAAGCCAATTTGTAATATTTGTCATAATTCAGTGTACCTATCTGAAATATCCAAGTTGTATATTTGCAAATTTCAAAAAGTTTAACTATGACATCACAAATACTTGAATGCTGGCACAAAAGCGTTTAAGCACTTACATTTTCTAAAATGGTTCTAAAAACAATGTATAAAAAGTAAACAGAACTTACTGAAAAGTTTATTTTGATGAGATCCGTTATTAGAAACAAAGACAGGGAATTTGTGTTCAAAGGAGTCTCCAAAAGTATCAATAATTGTTCTGTTCCAGCTCCAAAATAGTCATCAATATAGAATGAGATAATTTTGCTCCATTTGGCGGCAACCTGAAAGCGAAAGGGAACGAAGAATCCGGAAGAAAATCAGATGTGAATCAGTTACCTATATACTTGAGTATAAGCCAACCCGAATATCAGTTGAGGTACTTAATTTTACCACAAAAACTGCATTAAAAATGGGCTGAAAAACTCGGCTTATACGAGTACATATGGTAAGTCATTTTGCTTCATATGGCTACAATCTGTTATCCTCAATCTTACAAATAAGTAATGCAAATAGTAGTGTAAATAAAAAATAAATAATAAAATCAAGATATTCGGAAAGAAATAAGAAGTTATCACAACTTTATGGCTTCTGCTCCAGCAGAAAGTTAAAGTCCTGAGAGGCTGAGGATGCAGTTACTGGTCCTCAACCTCTCAGCCACATTGCTCAATGGCCTTTGCCTCCATGGACCGAGAAACCTGCCTATCTCACAGTCCCATAGTCTCAGACCATATGAGAAGGTGCTCCCATAGTCTTGGTGCTGCTTCTGAGTTTCTGATGCCTCTTGTCTTGGCCTCCACTACTTCACACAGAGAACTCGAACATGCTCTTCCGATGGTCCTGAGACTCGTTATACCAGTGGTTTTCAACCTTTCTAATGTTGCTATGCTTTAATATAGTTCATGTTGTGGTGACCCCCAACCATAAAATTACTTCATAAGTGTAATTTTTCTACTGTTATGAATTGGATGACCCCTGTGAAAGGGTCGTTTGACCCCCAAAGGGGTTGCAACCCACAGGTTGAAAACCACTGCCTTATACACAGAGGAATGGCTTTGAGGTGTAGCTTTTGTCTTTCTCAGCAGACCCCAAGCAAACAAAGGGTGTGACTTGGTTCATACCCTTTCTAAATTAGAGACTAATTCCACCATAATCCTGCCCCCATCAGTACAGCAGACAACTGTCTCTAAACGGGGATAAAGCCCCAGACACAGAGTCCAGAATTTTAGTACATTACATTAGGAATCATGGCTAGAGTAACCATATTAATTGACTACATCTCATTAACTCTGTCTTCTCAAGGTGCCTTTTGAAATCTGTTCATTTCTCTTCATTGTTTCTTCCAATTGCTTTAGTTATTCTATGTACAAAAGAAAGTTGTTGTGTCTTCTAACATCCATTTTGGTTTTTTTTCTTCTATTAACTGGCCTTTTGGTTTCTTCGTGTATGATTTCCCTTGACGCTATCCCGTATTTTATCTCCTTGGTGTTCAATGTATCAAGCCATCTTGAAATTCTTTCTAAATTCAGGTGGGATATACTCAAGGTTGTACTTTTGGCTCTCGTGGATTTGTTTCAATTCTCCTTAGCTTCAACTTGAACTTGTGTGTAAGAAATTGGTGACCTGTTCCCTGGCCTTGTTCTGACTGATAAGCTATTGAGTTTCTCCATCTCTGTCTACTGATGCAGTGGAAAGTGATTCCTGTGTATGGTTGCCTTTCCATTTTTGTTATTGAAAAAAGGTATTTGTAATGAATAAGGTGTTGGCCTTGCATAATTCTATCACGTGATATCTAGCTTTGTGTCATCTCTCACCAAGATTATATTTCCTAAATACCGCTCCATCTTTATTTCCAACTTTCACATTCCAATTACCAGTTAGTATCAATAGATCTTGGTAGTATATTTGGTCATTTGCTGAGCAATTTAGGTGTACAGAATCCCTCGAGGTAGTTTGAGAGATAGGTCAGTTAGATGCTTAAAGGATGGTGGTCCATCACAGAAAAAAACAAAAACCAAATTCAGGACGATGGTGGCAATTCTGATTCCTAGTGACCCATTAGGACAGGGTGGAACTGCCCCTGTGAGTTTTCCAAAACTTTAACTCTTTATGGGACTAGAAAGCAATGTTTTCTCCTGGGGACCAGCTGAAGTTGAACTGCCGACCTTGTGGTTAGCAAGCTAAGGCATAACCACCACATCGCCAGTGCTCTAGAATACTCTTTCAAGTCCAGGAGGCCAGCAGTTACAAGTCCTCTTGCAGGAACTGGCGTAGTTTCCTGAATTGGCTAACATACCAGTGGCAGGACTCTACAGTGGCCATGGGAGTGAGGACTAGATACCATTGAATGAATGAGGTGCAAGCAAATTATTTTCCTTATCCAGGTGAACAGGAGATCTAATCACCTTGAGTGCAAAGAACGGTTGGCAGCCCTGGCTCTTGTCAAATGTAGTAATAGATACCCTTTACTAAGCTTCTGTTATGTGTCAAGCACCATGGAAGACTATTTACAGTGTCATCTTTAATGTCCCCCTCTCAAAGGTCGAAAGCATGCAGTTTCCTTAAGATAAAAAATGCTTTCACAAGAATTAGGTTTCTCTCTTAAGGTAGAACTACTAAGTGGTTCCGTTGGGAATTCAAGCCCAGGTAAACCTATTTTTCCCATCACCCTGCCCCAATAAGGACATTTTCCTTTCGCATTCCTTGGGAAGAAAAGGGGATTTGAAAAGGACAGAAAAAATATTGCCTTTCAAAGTAAGCTTAAAAAATAAAATAAGACTATAATGTGCTTAGCAAAGATTGTTTGCAAAATGAAACAGCATAGCTTGCCAATTATTTTCTTACTGAAGATTTAAGTCCTGTATTACGGAGCACATGAATTAAACAAAAGAAATTCTTGAAACAGCTGCACTACTTTTGAAATAGGCATTTCTGACTAGTAATAATTATTTATCTTTGTATTATCTCCTTGTATCCTGTCACTTAATGAGCTGATGATATACATCTTAAGCCACAAAGATACAATAATGACTAAAAAATTCAGGGTTCAAGCAATATTATTAGTAGAGATATCCAGTTACAAACCTACAATTTCAATATTAATTTTCTGTGACTTTTTTACCTCTTATTGAATACTCAACACCAATGAGTATTTTAAGCCTTACATTCAAAAACTGCATAGATAAAATGTAAATTTTTGCTAAAGAGTTTCACAATTTGACATAATAAAATGCTAAGCAACAGATAATAGAAAAACTAATATTTAATGGAAAATAATTACTTGTCTCATGGAATTTCGATATTATTTTCAGAAAGAGACAAATAAATTTAAATAGATAATTACCAAATTTTAAGAAGCTGGACAATTTATTTGAGAAATCCATGAAGGCTTATGATGTCAAATAACTAGTAGTCTGACTGTGAGGAAAAGTATGGAGTTCCTGGGTGGTGCAAACAGTTAATGAGCTCAGCTGCTAACCAAAGATTGGAGGTTCAAGTCCACTTAAAGGCTCCTCAGAGGAAAAGTCTGGCAAGCTACTTCCAAAACATGATAATGGAGCACAGTTCTACTCTGATACAAAAATTCTGCCCTGAGTCAGACTTTGAGAGCAAATGGTAAAGTAAAAGTAGATATATAATTATCTGCACATGAATAAAAATTGTAAAATTATATTAAAAAATAAAGAAATGCATAGTAATTAGAGTGGTATCTTTATGCATTTCTAAACAACACAAAGACTTTATCATTCAAAATGGCAAGGCCAAAACAATTATTAGGTAGTATTCAGTTGGAATTTCAGAAAAAAGAACAATGTAATATGTTATTTTTTTACATAATAGCACCCCCGACATTAAGTTGATTCTGATGCATAGCTACCCTATGTAGGGTTTTTGAAACTATAAATCTTTATAGGAGAAGTTAGCTTCATCTTTCTCGGAGAAGTTGATGGGTTTGAACCATCAGTCTTGCAGTGAGCAATCCAAGGCTTATCCACTGGCACCAACAGGGTTCCTTTTTAAAAGTAAAGTATTAAGAAATTACTTTGACGCCAAGACACTAGCATGAAGTATATGGAGAACAAAAATGCTGAAAGGTCTGAATCCTCTAACTACATCAGTTGAATCACTATGCGTACGCAAGTACTGTACCTCAAAGCTCTTTTTCCAAACAGCGCAAACATCATTGGACTCAGAGGATACAATGAAAAGGGAGTCTTCAATATTGATATTCAAAAGTTGAACCGTACAAGAACCTTCAAATGGAAGCTGACACACTTTATTTATTGCACCATTTTGGAAAGAAATCAGCTGATTCTTTCGAGTAAGGGCTACCAGGGACATTTTTAGCTGGTTGTTAACAAACTCAGCTGCATAGACACATACTTCAGTCACCGTCCTGCCATAGGCACGAGGGATAACATATGTATCAGCTAGCATTTCTAGACGCTCAAAAGAATAGACCCCTAAGTGGGCTTTCTCTGTAGTCAAACCTGACTTAGCAAGTTCCTGGAGGCATCCCAATAAAACCACACCGAGACCATCAACCGTCCCTGCCCATACAAGAGAGATGAAGTAAACTGGCAAACTAGTAACGGTGCCAGTTTGGGGACTGATATAGGTTATCATGTTGTGGTATTTCCATAAAATTAGAGGGCCATTAAGGATCCTTAAGCTATCCTTCAACTCATAGCCTCGTGTAAATTTCAACCGACTTCTCAACTTAACTTCACTCTTAGAAAGGAAAAGCATCAATAGATTATAGTTGTAAGTGCTATTGCTTTCGCTTTGAATCAGAACACAAGGGACATAAAGTCCAGTCCGGGTGTCTAACACAGAGTGGCAACAAATAATTTTAAAATTGGATTCATTTTCATTCAGGAGATAAACTCCAGTGGCTACTGGATAAAACACTCTTATTTTTTTGCTAAGCTCCATTCTTTGGACATCTAATTTGGATATTTCTGTAGTCCCTTTCTTGGTTGACACTTTTTCTTTACCCAACTGGAATACAAAAATTTCCCCATTATAGGACAAGAGTCCTTTTTGATCATTAGATGGCATGGCCGGTTTGCTCATCTTGACACAGTATCAAGGCTTTGTGGTGATGTACTTTCAGAATGCAAAGTGATTCCAGTTGATACTTGAAATCTAAAAAAGAAATGAGAAAAGCTCCCATTAATCAGGCAGAATGAAAAAGAACCATGTTTCTTTTAGAGACCTGCCACACAGCGAATTATAATTTTTACTAAGTAAATCTTAACTTTTCAAAAAATACTGCAATGATGTCATACATCGTACAGACATAAAAATGTCTCACATGTCCCTTAAAAAACGCATTTTTGTCTGATCGCGAAGGACCACATCAAGTAAGTGCAATTGGTTCTGACTCAAGAATGACCCTATGCACAATAGAACAAAACACTGCCCAGACTTGCACCATCCCCACAGTTGTTAAGCCACTGTGTCATACATCTCCGTGAGGGTCTTCCTCTTTCTCACTCACCCTTTGCCAAGCATGATGTCCTTTGGTGCTCTATTAAACTGACTTCAGATTTCTTTTTGGCTCAGAGAATGTCTTAAGGCTCCACTTCTCTTTCAGACCTACCAAATCGAATTGGACTTCCTCATTTCCCAGCTGACTACCTTGTACTTGCTTTCTCCCTTCTGCCTTGGCCCCCATTGAATGACACTTGTTAGCTGATCAATTATTTGTCTTGTAGTGCAATTTCTTCCCAAATACAAAGGGGCTTCAGAATATTCGTAGAAAAATTGCATTATCATTTAATTCAATTTGCCCATAAACTTTTTCAAGTCCCCTCATATGGTGTCCTGAATTGGACTGCTCCCACAAATCAGGTGCTTGAGTTTCACTTCCTGAGGACAGGTGCTTATTATAGACTCAAGATAAAAATAAAACTCTAAAACTAAAAGTTGGAGTTTCCCTAAAATGGCTTAAGAAATCCTCATAGAAGACAAAGAAGTTGTATTTTCTAAAACTAATCCATTATGACTACCTAAGGAAGTCACTACTCTTACTCAATAGTGTCTGCAGAAGAAAATTGGTCATTTAAATCAGTTGTTTGACCATCTGGTGCCAGGATTGAAGCCATAAAGGCTTGGAGGCAAGTGAATTGTAAAAACTATGAAACCAGGTGGAGATGCTCCATATCTGTTACATCAAAGTACATAAAATGAAACCAGCCATGCATGTATCCTAGAAAATGATACTATATACAGTACTGTGGACATAGTAGCTTAGCAATAAACTATCACTCTCATCTCCTCTTCTCTACCTGCTCCCTCCAAATGAAAATGGGTTCCCTTTAAATGCTACCAAATTGTGGGTAGTATAAATTGCAGAGACTTTACAGATACGCCAAGTCTGGTTCCGGAAGATCTTGTGGAGACTGTAATATCTAGCTGGATGCAAGCCAAACAAAGTCTAGAAGACATAGTATCAATTATAACCAACACAAAGTATCTGGGAGGGGTGGTACTTCAAAACAATTAATATGTGCATGTATGTTCAACTACAACTTTTAAGTAAATTTAAGGAAACAACACTGATAGATATCCTTTCTCCAACAATAAAGGGCACTCTTAACCTAAGTATATTAACTTGACAAAAGAAGAGGTTCACTGGCAAAATGTCTGTCTGCCTTTATAACCAGAAGTCATTTGTTGGGGGCTTAACCACAAACTATCTCTTAAACTGTTACCTAAAATAATAAATAAAAATACAACAAATTGACCATCATCATTTGATTCCTACTCATAGCAACCCTATAAGACTGTTAGAAATGCCCTTGTGAGTTTCTGAGGCTGTAAGTCTTTACCTGAGCAGAAAACCTCAATTCTCTCCCAAGTTTGAACTGCTGACCTTGTAACTGGTTAGTTTACCAACTCGTAACCCAGGGGTCCTAGCATTACTTAGCATGCCTGGAAGGCAGGTGAGCATGGGGAAATGGTGACACAACAAGTTGGAGAATTAGGGACAATTAAATTAAAGAAAAGGGTTTTTAAGTCACATGTAGAGGTTTTAACTTTGTCCTAAAAACAATGATAAATCTCTGAACGATTTCAAAAATAAAGGATGGACTCCTGAATTACAGATCCTTGTAGCAGTGCTGAGGAGAGGAGTGGGGTGAGAGTGAAGGAAGAAATGGAAATTCAGAGATTATTTTCAGAGCATTTAAGAAAAGGGAGGAGTAACTTTAGAAGGCAATTTGGCAGTAGGCCAAACTGCATGTATACAGCAATTTTATTCCTAGAGGTGAACCTAGAGAAACAATCCCACATCGGCACAAGGACATGGTTCTAGAATGTTCACTGTCATGTTAAAACAAACATACAGCAAAAGATAATCATTAACTACCAAAGAGAATTGAATAGCTGGAACACCACACAACCTTTAAAAGAAAAGAAACCCACAGGGGCAGTTCTACCCTGTCCTATAGGGTTGCCATGAATGGTAGAGTAGCATCACCATAGATTGCCATTGATGGTAGAGTAGCATCTCATAGGTTGCCATTGATGGTAGAGTAGCATCACCATAGATTCTCAAAGATATTTAATCTACCATCCACTTTTCAGAAACAAACAAACAAACACAGCCCCTTACCCCTGGGTCTTTGCCCCCACCCCACCCCGCGACATTTCAGCACCTCCCAGGGAGTGACATCCCTCCTTATGTTGGGAAACACTGCTCTAGGACAAGGTGGAATTGCCCCAGTTTCACAGGCCTTCATCTTTATAGTGTTCTCTCTGGAAGATCCCCTGGTGGGTTCCCATTGACCTGCATTGTTGAGCTTACTTAATCAACTATTAAGGCTCCTGGCCTTATAGAAAGCATCTTTTTTTTAAAAAAGAAAAAGGTTGGGGATGAAAGATGTTAGTGTTTACCATGAATAATTGTGGAAACATTGGGGACTGTTTTCCTCTTTTTTGGTAGTCTTCAGTCTTTTCCCACTAAAAAAGAAAGGCACGATTATTGTATCAGCAGCAACTTGTTATTACTTTCAATGGACAACCAAAAAATTTGCTCCAACCCACGAAACACCAAATCTACTGCCAACGCATGGATTCTGACTCATAGGTAACCCATCAGATTTCAAAGACTAATTTTTTAACGTGTAGTACATTTTTATTATTTTTCATTTTCAATAAATCAATTCAATAAAATAAATTTTTCATAAAATAAAACATCCTATGTGGCACACAACAGGCTCCCACAACAACTATCTGGCTCTAAGTGTTAAAAAGTAGTTTTTGTGAGAGCCAACTGCCTCAGCTTTCTCCCATGAAGCGGCTCGTGGCTTTGAACCCTGGACCCAAGCGCTTTAACCATGGCGCCACTACGCGCCTTAAAATTTGTTCCTGACTCGCCACAACCAACCCCACTGCCCTGGAGTCTATTTCCACTCCTAGCGACGCGCGCTTCTCAGCCTTTCTGGTAACCAGACACGCATGCCTGCTAGAAAGACTTGAAGGACATTTTCCTGGCTCCAAGACGCAAAAGAGCGTTTCAAGCGAAATCAGGCCCAAACGGACAAACATTTACATTCACAAAAGTTACCATACGATCAAGCCAAGAGTCCCTTTCGAGAAAGCCGGCTGGGCAATAATGCGCGCGCGCGCGCGCGCGCGAAGGGCCCCACGAAACGCCAGCTCTGACGTATTCTGTGAGGGTGAGCGCCAGAATGGATCCTTCCAGAAGGGAATTCCTGTCAGGCCACCAGAAACCAAAAGGCTACTCTGGTGAGGGAGGACCAGAGAGGGCCCTACCGAAGGGTCGCGCCGCCCCGCAAACCTCTCCCCAAGGCCGGGAATCCATCGATCGGAACGTCAAACTGGGGGTGGGGGTGGGATCTGAAACTGAGGCGCGAAGGCCTCTGAGGGGACTGAGGGCCAGTGTCCATGGAACTCAGCGCGGCTCCCTCAGGCTGGTCTCACATTCGGGGTCGCCCGCCCCCTTCCCTCTTTCCCCTCCACAACACTGTGATGAGGGGGCTAATCCAGCCTCCGTGGAGACCGGGGAGGAGAGACACAAAGGTCCTACCTCAGCTGGTACCCGCCCTCAGGTAGCGCAGCCACTCCCTCCTCTCCTCTCCCGCTCCGCCGGCCCTCTCAGGCCAAGGGCGCCACAACTCTGAACTTCCCGCCAGCGCGCTGCATGCTGGGAGGTTGTGCCGGGCCCAGTCTGACAGGAGTCGGTTGCTAAACAGGCTGAGGAGGCGTGACCGGGCGGGGCGGCGCTCGTGGGGGCGGAGCTATGCAAGGAACGCGCCACCAACCTGCCAATGACAGGGGCGGGGCTACATGTGCAGGTCGTGTAGGGGCGGGACTCGAATGAGCAGCGAATAGGACGGCAGGCAAATAGCCTCGTCCCGCCCCACACCCAGACGGCCGCACCGGATTGGGCGGCGCGACGACTACTCGGTTTGCCTTCCGTTGTCACGCGACCTCCTCCCCCCTCCCACCCTTCTCCGTCTGTCCCCAGGCCCGCCTGGCTGGTGATGAGAGACTCGGGCTGAGGTGACCGAACCGGTGAGCACGACCGTGAACGCAACCATGACCGAGGTAGGAAGCCGGCTGCACTGTTGCTGGCCACCCCCAGCCCCCAGCCGGCGGAAGTCGCTTTGGAGGCCCAGGATGCCTGGGGGCAGGTGGGCTGGGCTGGGCTGGGGGAAGCTGGAAGGCGCGTGTGATGTCTCAGGGTCCTGTCCTGTCCTGTCTCCCCACCAGAATCAGACCCAGACGAAAGCCAAGCTCATCGCAGAGACCCGACGGAGGTTCGAAGCTGAGTATTTCACAGGTAAGTCCTGTGTGTTTAGGTTTGCGACAAGGGTGCAGTGAGCGTTCCTAAGTTTGCGGAGGTGTTCACAGGGGTCTCTGTACAGCATTAGGAACCCTTTTGACACCCCCAGGGTACTAATGCCCTGCACTGTAGTGTGGTTTTTGTCTCTATAACTTGCCATGCACTTTGCTCCAACGGGGCAGATGGCGTGTCCATTACATCCTTGAAAAGGTTCATGTAAGTTGAAAGGGAGTTTCTAGCATCTCCCCTTGTTTCTGGAACTTGCAGAACACTTGTTAAAGCCCAGGCACAGGTTCACCATCCAGACCTTGATTCCTGTGCTGACCTTCCCCCCTGTCGCAGTTCAGAAAATGAACCTGGGACCTGCCCAAATAACTCTTGAAGTGGATTTAATTGGGGATGCAAATTCCTTGGATGTTTTGCCTAGTTGCACTTCACACCCCCAGCATGCTATCTGGAGACTAGGCCCAGCCATGTTGGACCAAACGCTTTATCTTTTCATCTCACACAGTACCTAGTCTGGTGAAGCACCTGTGAGTCAAGTATTGATTTATTGGTTGAACATTTCTGTGTCCATTATGTCGTACATGATTGTGTCGTTAGGGAATTAGGTGATGATCTAATTTTACAGTGACTTTGAAACAACATCTAGGATAAATCTTTATAAATAGGTAATTAAGAAAGAATGTGTTGCCCAGCATAAGGTTGATTCTAATCCTGACCCTGTAGAGTCCTTGAGTGGCACAACTGGTTGAGCCCTTGGATATAAACCACAAGGAGGGTAGTTCGCATTCACACAGAGGCACCTCAGTTCAAGAAAGACCGTTCTAAAGATCTTAGCCGGTGAAAACCTTAAGGAGCACACTTCTACCAAAACACATGAAGTTGCCATGAGTCAGAATCGCCTAGACAGCAAGTGGGTTTTTTGTTGGTTGGTTTGTTTTCATCCTGATCCCGCCACTTAATCATATACTTGTCTATTCTGAGCCCTCGTTGCCATATGTGTAAAATGGAAATGATCAGTTTAGGAAGCATCCATGAAAAAGGATGCATTAAGTTGTCTAGCGCCTTAGCATGTAGTAAATTAAATTGTTCTTTTGACTTAACAGTGACTTGGATGACCAGGAAAGGGGTTAAATTTCAGCAGCTTCACTTTAGTGCTTAGCCCAGATTCCCAGCAACTTTTAACTCCCCTACATAGGCCAGGAGCCCACCTGCCCTATAGAAGAAAAAGACGTCCACAAAGATTACAGCCAGGAAGCCATGTGGGGGTAAACCTATAGAGACAATAACTATATTAATAGATTCAAAGGGACATGACAGGCTGGTGGGATATGGGATGCTAACAACGAGTACAGTGAGGAAGAAATGTCCTGGAATTGATTGTGGTGATGGTTGCACAACTCTTATGAATTCAATTGAACTATTGAAATGTGAAATTGCATGTCAGTGAAATTGTTAAAAAGAAAATAATTTTCAAAGCAGAAGAAGCCATGTGTGGCGGGCAGTCTGCTCTGTCACGTGGAATTAGAATGCGTTGGGAATCAACTCAGTGACACTTAACAACAAATTAGGGGTTAGTCAATGATGTGGAACAAGTAAGGGCATCTATCCCCAATAGCGTGGCTAGTAAATCTTCTCATGCTTTCCTGCTCATTTCCTTTGTACCCAAACTGCACAGCAGAGTTGGCAAAATCACACATGATTCACTTTTAGCCCAACTATCCTATTTCTAACGGCATAGCTGGTTCTGATAAAGAGATCATTCTAAAATTGCTATAGACATGTACCTCTTCTATTAAATTGTTAGGGTTTTCCAGATTTAGCAGCTACCCAATGCTTGACCTAATGCTAGTATCTCGCCAATTTAGCTATGCCTAAGAGAAAAAGCTGTGGCTGTCTTCTTCCAAAACGATTTATGTTTATTTTTATTTTATCACTTTATTGGGGGCTCATACAGCTCTTATCACAATCCATACATCCATCCATTGTGTGAAGCACTTTTGTACATTTGTTGCCATCATCATCCAAAATGATTTATAGCCTTAGAAGCCCTATGTAGGATCACTAGGAGTTGGTATCCAGTCAGTGGCTGTGGGTTTTGGCTGAGCGAGAAAGCAGAATGTGGGCATAGAAATTTAGCAATCGACAAGTCCTTGGTCCACCCATCTCAGTTTTAAAATGAAGAAAGTGAAGTCTAGTTTCAAGTGATTTTGCTTAAAACCTGTGGTGGGGAGAGGCCAGAGCTAGATAGCACATCTTCCGGTTTTCACTGTCGCAACCTGACAGCAACATTGTAATGTCAGATGTGATCCTGTCACTCCCCAGCTTGAAACCCTCCAGTGCCCATCCTCTGTGTTTAGAAGGTCTCCAGTGCTCTGGTTACTGCCTACCTGTCTGTCCTCAGCGGTTCCTACTCGCCTTGCTTAGTACAGTCTCACACAAAGGCTTTGATCTGCCCGCTGCCTGAGTAAGAAATGGACATGGCAGCCAGTAACTGAAACACAAGCTCAGGAAAACATACTTCATCGGAAAGCATGTGACCCTCCCTGCCTTTTTTTTTTTCCTTTCTTCTATTTGACTTCCTTTTTACAAAATACAATGGCCCACAAAGTTGGCATCATAACCTACAAGCGTAACCCACAGTTTGTTGCCCAGGACTGGCCACACTGCCTCTTTTACATCCTTCTAATAGACTGTGTCTGTGTCCATCTCTTTTGCCTGGAGAGCTTTTCCCCAGGGAATGTGCATGGCTGGCTCCTCGTCTGTGCTTCCATCTTGGTTTAAATATATCTGAGAACCTATGCTGCCTATTACATCGCCTCTCTGTTTCCAGGTCCTTCTTCTGTTTATTTTCTCTCCCTTACAGCTCTTACCATAATCCGTAATTATCTTGCTCATTTGTTTACTTGTGGGTTGCGTATATCCGCCAAACCTGTTGCCATTGCATCAGTCTGACTCTTGGTGACCCCATGTGTTACAGGTTAGAGCAGAGTTTCACAGGACTTTTTTTTTAGTGGGTGGGGGTGGGGTAGGGCTTATCATCTTTATGGAAGCAGGTTGCTAGGCCTTTCTTGCTGAATGCCACTGGGTAGGTTATAAGTCAACCTTTGCAGCACTCAGGGCTCTGTTTATTTTCTCTAGTAGAATGTGTATGGGTGGGCATTGAGGGCAGGGACCTTGTCTCTCTTATATGCCTCAACTCAGAGGTAGACTAGGCCCACACTGTATTAAGAACTCTCTTAACTGCGCCTCCTCCCCCACCAAAATCTGGCAAAGAAGCCTTCACAATATGTCCCATAAAGGCAAGCTTATTTCAAAGTAAAACAAAGTATAGTGTTAGCGTCGGGAGGGGTTTTGTCATAAAACATACATACTTGGGTATGTTTGAACACAGGTGTGTGACTTATCTGCCTGCATGGTGACTGTAAATATTAACTTATTTAAAAACCTGCAGGAGGAAGAAACCTAGAAACCTTCAAAGACTTTGTTACCTTCAAGTTTCCGTTGTTTCCTGATAAAGGTAAAATCTGATTAAGATAGACTGGGAAAGGAGGAAAGGTGTTTTGATTGGCCTAACCAGAAAGTGTTTTCCCTTTTTGGTTTATCTTGTAGAAAGTACTCAGGTGTGCTTAGATCACCCACTTTCCTTCTTTCATGGTCTTTCCCCCTGTCGATTATTGTTAACAATAGTTTGTTTCAGAATTGGCATAAGGCAACATAATATATATTGCCCTAAAGCAGTGGTTCTCAACCTTCCTATTGCCGTGACCCTTTCATACAGTTCCTCATGTTGTGGTGACCCCCCAACCATAACATTATTTTCCTTGCTACTTCATCACTGCAAGTTTGCTACTCTGATGAATCCTGTGATTCCTGTGAAAGGGTTATTCAACCCCCAAAGGGGTTGTGACCACAGGTTGAGAACCACTGCCATAGAGGAAGAGCTACTTGGCCTCCAAAGGGAGTGGGGAAGCTTTACATAATTACACCCTCAGCTGCTAATCCAAAGGTTAGCAGTGCGAATCGAACTCAGAGGGACTTTGAAACAAAGGCCCGGTAGTGTGTTTCTGAAGGATCACAAAATCAGAGTCAGCTCACTCACCCGTAGCTGGAGTTTGGGCTTTATACTCCACGAACTCTTTGCGAGATAAATTCCTGGGGATACCAAGCACGTTTTTGCATCCAAAGAAATGAAGTTGCTGATGATGGATAGAAGTTATTGTTTTTAAGCTGGCAAAAAGCATGAAATATAAATCTGTAATTGTCTCACGGATTACTATTAGTACTGGTTTTGATCTCCACTTGTTTCTGTGAGCGATTCCATGCTGAATCTCAAATGAAATACATTTCCCTTTCTCACTTGCTCCCTCCTCTTTGTGGCCAAGGCAAGAGATGAATCCCTTGTGACAATAATTTATTCAGTTCCTCAAAGCCTCCTGCACTGAGTTCCAGGAAGAAGGGTTTCTGTCACTGGTAGAGAAAGGCCTAAAGGAGAGAGCCCATTCCTGACTACTACCATCTGGCAAACCATAGGCTCTCAAACTTATTTGACCTACCGCCCTCTTTTAAGAAAAAGAAAAAAGAAAAAAAAAATATATATATATATACTCAGCTCCCCCCGCCCTCTTTTAAGAAAAAGAAAAAATATATATATACTCAGCTCCCTCCACTCCCTTGTCATGGCAACTGAAAACTTCCTGTACTATAGACCATAATCCAGGATGAAATATAGGTATCTACTTTTGTAGCCCCCACCCCCAGGAGCCCTGGTGGCCTATTGGTTATCCTTTGGGCTACTAACTGCAGTGTCAGCAGTTCAAAATTACCAGCCCACTCTGTGGGAGAAAATGAGGCTTTCTCTTGCTGTAAAAAGTTAGTCTCGGGAATCCTCAGGGAGAGTTCTCTGTCCTCCAGGGTCACTATGAGTCAGAACTGAGTCAATGGCAATGAGTTTGCTTTGCTCTGCTTTGCTTTGGATCGTTTCGTTCCAGTGC